TAGAAAAACAAGCCTGGCCTTAGTTCATCTGTGAGATTTCAATGAAATACCTTCATCAGTTGATCTATTTAAATAAGACCAGCACAGGTAATAATAACAATGTAAAAGCTTTATTTACAAAATAGGTTAAACAGGTTACATTGCAACCTGGCAAAAAACAAAACAAAAACACTAATCAGATGCCTACAGTACCATGAAAAGTATTTTCCCTCATTCCTATATTTCTCTCACTCTTTTTTTTCTTTTTTGATATTTGTCACGCTTACATGTTCCGGCTCATCAAACAAATCTTAACATTAATTTCTATATAAACGATAACCTGACCCAGGTTATGACAATAGGTTATATAAACGATATAACAATAACCATACCCCAAGTACGCTTTCATGAAATAATGGCAAGACATTCAGGATTTTCCGGCAGAGAGCAGACTTCTTGGTTACATCAATTATAGCAAGTCGTCCAGGTCCTGAAGCAGCAAAAGGGTCACAGACCATCATACTAACACAACCGTATTTGACGGTCAGTATGATCTTTTTATGAAATGCTGTGGTAGGCTCTTGCCAGATGTATCAGGACACAAACCTTCCAAAAAGTTCAACTTTTTTCATTGACCTTAGCTGAAGCAAGTGGGGCCTGCAGTTCTTTAGATGTTGTTCTTGGTCCTTTTTATAACCTCTTGAATGAGTCGTCAATCATCTCTTGGAATTCACCACTGTTTTGAGTTTTCTCTGTTTGTCTAAAATGCTTCTCACCGTGGTTCACTGGAGTCCCAAAGCCTCAGACATGGCTTTGTAACCCTTTCTAGACTGATGGATGTTAGTGACTTTGTTTCTGTTCTTGCAGTTTTGTTTTGTTTTTTTTAGATTAGAGCCTTTGTGTGAATGTTGAAATTGACCTCAGCTTCACAAAAATGTGGTTAATCACAGAGAATTCATAAATTAACAAGAGAAGAATGACTTTTTCATACAGGTCAGGTAGGTTTGGCTTTTTTTTTACCTCAGAAAATGAAATCATCATTTAAAAACTGCATTTTGTATTCACTCAGGTTATCTTTTTCTAATATTAAAAACATGTTTGTTTATTGGAAACAAAATATGCAAAAACTATTAAAATCAGGAAGAGGGCAAATACTTTTTCACAGTACTGCATATACTCAAAAACACACATCTTCAAAGAATTAAACACATACTGAATTTATACACAGCAGTAGCTCAACCAGCACCAGCAACTAACTCCCTTCCTCAGCAGCTGCTGCTGCTACTTGGAGTCCCACTGGAGCTACCACTACTCTCCCCAAGGTCCTCCTCTTCCACCTCATGCAGATCATCCATCACCTCCAGACTCTCACAGATAAGCCCTATCTGCCTTTTCATGTGGGCCATGGTGCTCTGCATCCTCCTCATCTTCCGCTGTAGGGCGGTGGCAATGGCCCTGTGATTCCTCTGCCTAGCTTCGTACTCCTGCCTCAACTGCTTGTAGCAGTTGTGTTGAGCCTGGGTTCGGTGGGAGAGTATCGTCCCACAACCCATGTGGCAAGGCTGGCGCCAGTGCTCACAGTGGTGCGCATGGGTCTCGAGGTCCCTGCGGAGGAGCTGTACCCTGCAGCCCTGGTAGGGGCAGGGGATTAGCTCATACAAACAGCTCATGCTGTGGCAGTACTGCTCTGAGAGGGGAAAGGTCTCTGCACAGCCGCGGATCTCATTCTTGCACTGTGAAGCACACAGAAGAAATCATATAGTTAATAAAATGACTTGTGTTATAAATGTGTTATAAATCGGTCTGCAGGAGAAGAAGAAGAAGAAAGCGTACTTTATTGAGATAGAATTGAGATAGAAGCTAATAGAAGAGGAATTGAGATAGAAGCTAATCCAAGCCATAGACGACTGAAAACAAAACAATTCTGATGCACAACCTAATCATTTCAGTCATTTATCAAGCAAAAATGTCAAACATCCAGTGGCTTTAGCTTGGATTTATATTTTTTGCTTTCCTCCATCTCAAATAAGTCATCTTGGGCTCAGAGAATTTGTCTTGATGGTGTCCTTATTATTAATAACTTAATAAAAACAGTCACAAATAAATGTGTCCCATGAAGTGGTTCACACATGAAAATGCCAGGCAGCACCAGGCAAATACAAATGTATCCACTCTGTTAGGGCTCATAAAAAATCATGTAAAAAAAAATCATGTGTTCAAATTCCCTTTCCTACCTTGATCTTCAGGCGTCCAATAGATTTGCTTAGCTTGAACATGACAAAGATCAAGCTTGGGTTCACCGGCTTCCTGCAGCAGGGGCAGGTCTCCTGTCTGCAGAGGACAACTAGGAATGAGTCTCTGACCAAATAAAAAAACCAGGTAAAACTTTTGTCCAAGGATACTGATAAGATACATTCAGTACCTTTTTAGCCACTGCAAGATGCATTTCTTGCAGAAAATGTGGTGGCACGCAGCTCTTACTGGACATCTGAGGACCCCTTGGCATATGGTGCAGATCAGATCATAGTCTGGAGTGTCCACAAACAGCTCCACATCATAACCCCCGCTCTGTGTTGACACCTCTGGGTCTGCCTAGATGTGGCCACAGTGTGTAGAAAAAACAGTATCTTATATTTCAGATATACCTGAGACTGAAAACCATGGCTCTGTGACTGTCTATAACCTCTCCACAGTGTTCTCAAAATAAAAAAAAAAGAGAGACAACAAAACAGAGCTGTTCTGGAAAGCCATATGACTGATCACATGATTACAACAAGTAAGTCTGCTCCCTTTCCAAAAATCTTTTTTTCTAACACACAAAACATTAAACAGTGACAAAAAAAGATCTGAAATTGTCCTCAATGGTATTTTTACTTTGTTAAAGTACAACATATAATAAAAATGCCACAATACTCATGTATTAGTATACAATTCAAATACCAAGCAAATAATAGAGTTGATTCTGGCTATATACACAATCTGTTTTTGACCTACTGAGCATCAGTCCATAAATCTGAGATTCTAAATCTAGATTAAAATACAAAAAATCATACAAATAAATAAATATAAAACACACGCCAAAACAAAAAGCTGCCCTCTACTCACCATGGCAAGCTCCTGTTTTATTTTTCTCAGCGTGCTTCCATAACCCGGGGGGCTGGTTTTACTGCATATCGATCCTCTCATATGTCACATAAGTAACACACACCCGCGTTATCAATACAACACGCGTGAACATTCCTGACTAAACAACGAAGGAGGGACCGCGTGTGTGCGCGCGCGCTCGACAGATGAAAACAGTGGGCTAAACTGTAGAATCGAAGCCATAATGGGAGAGCGTCGTTTCCCTGCTGTTCTAGCACCAAACTCATGGTTCACACGGCTGCTATTGTTGTGATACTCAGGAACTACATTATAAATAAATAAATAAATAAATAAATAAATAAATAAATAAATAAATACATAAATAAATAAATAAACTATAAGCATATAGATCTGATTATTTTCCCTTGCTTTATATAAAGTTTACTGTCAAAATTAAAAGTTTAAAAACCACCAGTTTGGTGTTTGTGCGTTCATTTGTTGACAACAGAAGTCTGACCAATCACCGCGCCGTGCGCTCAGATGACGTGCAACGTGTGCGACCATGCCGTCAACATGCGGGATGGATGGCGGTGTTGACTGTAGCCAACGTGTGACATGAGAAATAAGTAGTATACGCCGCCTGTACTCTCTACATCACTTCTTTTTTGGGCCATTTCTCACGGGCAAGATGGCAAATACCAACCTTCAGTTCAAAACCAAGTGAGTTTTGCTTTCTGCACGTGTGAGCTGGAGATCATGTAGCAAGCTAACACGAGCTAGGCTAAGGTGTTATATGAAGTTGTTGAATCCACTGTTGCCGTTTTCTTGTTCCTTTACAGTTATGCTGTTTCCAGCAAGATCGAGCCATTTTACAAAGGGGGAAAAGTGCAGGTGGGTGCTCGGCTTTGATGTGTGTGTGTGTGTCTCTGTGTGTGAAGCTTCTATTAATGTCTTTTGTGACACTTTAGACACTTTTGTAACAATGCGCTGGTATAAAGTTGAGCGAATTGCACAAGGTATACAGGAAGTGCAGCAAAATCAAGAAAGTCCTGACTTTGTTTCTTGATAATCATGACAAACAGATGTTTTCAGAGTCTCACACATCTGTTTTAAGTCTGTATGACATTAACCAAGATTATGGTTAATGTCATAGATTAAATCTGACCTCTCCCCTTTTTTTTTCAGATCAGCAAAGATGAGAAATACATCTTTTGCACCTGTGGCTCTCGAGTCAATGTTTTGGAGATCAGCACTGGGAAGATCATTCACTGTGTTGAGCATGTGAGTTCAGCATCTAACATCAGGGGTGGGCAGTTTATTTTTACCAGAGGGCCACATGAGAACCTGTGTCTGTTGTGGAGGGCTGCGCCAAAAAAGTTGAACTGACTTCAGCTTGGCATTTCTTTCATTTTGTATAAACTGCTCCCAGTAAAAGTAGATGTTACAATGGGGCAATAATGATGAGAATTAGGTTAACTAAAAGCACAGACATTTTTTCACTGTTTATTCAACATCCCCAGAGATGGCTGTGAACAAAATGTGCATGTTTGTTCAACATTTAAAAGACTTTAAACTTGCAGCTGTAGTTTAATAACTTTATCTGCATTTGTTGATTTCTTGTTGAGCAATGGAAATCTGGTTTTGTTTTGGACTTGAACAAGTGCATTACAGTCAAGTTCTGTGTCCAAGGTTGAAATGTGAAGGGCAGCAGACAGGTGATCTCAGCAGACAGAACATCATCTGGATTTGTTAAACTTTCATCATTCAGAGTTTTTGTTCACAGTGTGATTCAGCTCTTTTGCTTTGGGGAAGTTAACTATTTTAGTTATATCTACAACATGGTTAATTTGTAGCTGTGACTTATACAACACCTCCTGGTGTCTGATTCAGTGGGAAAATACCAATTTCAGTCACTCTTTTCCTTCACCTGTCATTTTTCCTGTCACATTTAGATAGCCATCGGTTGTAATACCTGCCAGTTTGTCCCATGGCAGAAACACCCTATGTGTGCAGTTACCTCCATGAAGAAATCACTCCCTGTCTTAGTGCCTTGCTGCTCTGTAATATACAAAGAAGACTAACCAGGTTGTGTCGCAGACATCCCAGCTCTCGATCAGAGCCAAAGAGATAAAGTCCAAATTGTCCGCTTACCTTTTTAACTGAAAAATTAAGATTTTTCTCAGTGTCCTCAATCCCTCTTGTTACAGTTTACCTCTCCAGGTAAACTGTAACAAGAGGGATCTCAAATGCTTCTTTTTATCTCAGCGCATATTAGCACAGCAGTGCACCAAACACTCTTTCATAAACTCCCAGTCAGAGAATGAGATACTGTGTTTTGGTGGTTTTTTTGTTTTGTTTTTTTTGCGATTTTGTGAGAAACCACAAAGCGGATCCTCATTGCTCCATCCCTGCTGGACGTGTAAAACATCTCATAAACCTTCATAAACATCTGCTCTAGTATGTTTACAGTGAATCTGTATTCTCATGCACATCTAACAATTGAAAAATCTCTAGTTTCATCTTGGAAAGAGATCCAAATTGCTTTGGGGTTACATCATGAAGGGCATCTAGCCCAAATGATCTGCCAAATTAAACAGCACTGCCTGCTGTGATGAGCCTTTGTCTCACAGAAACCTTGGCTACTGCATCTTTACTGTCTTTATATCAACAACCTCATTCTAACTATTGCCATTGGTGATTTATCAGTCTTCTTTCTTTTTGTGAATAAAATGTACTTCCATGTTTCCTGTCTGAATATTTTGTTGTTGTTTTTTTTCTCTGGTAGGATGATCAAGAGGACATCACGTCATTTGCTCTCAGCTGTGATGATGAGGTACAGAAATGCCTGAGTCACTTCTCATTAGATCAGTCACATTTGTGTTTTCAGTATTTTCAGCTGTCACCCTGTACAACAGGACTCAGTTGGTCTTTGCTTCGTGTCTCTCCACAGATGCTGGTAACAGCCAGCCGGGCGCTGCTGCTTAAGCAGTGGGATTGGAGGCAGGCTAACTGCACTCGGTCCTGGAGGGCTATTCACACTGTCCCCGTAGCTAGTATGACCTTTGACTCCACCTCTACTCTCCTAGCCACAGGTCAGCTACCACATGATTTATTAAAAAGAAAAGCTTCTCCCTGATATCTGCTACGTGTGTGTGTGTGTATATATATATATATATATTGTTTCTATTTATTTACCTGCAGGTGGCTGTGATGGCACAATAAAACTTTGGGATGTGGTGAAGCAGTATTGCACTCATAACCTGAAAGGGTCATCTGGTGTTGTACAGTAAGTCTCAGGCTCTCATCTTAAAATGATGTATATTCATATATCATACCATTTTTCTGCTGCTTATCTGGGTCTGGGCTGCAGGGGCAGGAAACTAAACAGGTACAAAGGCGCTTCCAAGCCAGCATGTCCTGGGCCTGTCTCAGTCCCAATTATTTTAATGTGATAACTTAAAAGAGGCAATGTGGAAGTTTCAAATTGATACCAATGGGTTTATCTACCAGGAGGCTGAGAGGTAGCACTGGTGGCTGCCAGTATTTTTTACAAATGCTCATATGTAGCAGGATTTAACAATAATATGAAGAAACTAGAAACAAAGGAAATATTTTGTGTCTTTGTGCAGTTTGGTCCAGTTCCACCCAAATACCGACCTGCTGCAGCTTTTCTCTTCCTCTTTGGACTGTGGCATCCGGATATGGGACCTGCGCTCCAGCCAGTGTGTGTGTGTCCTGCAGAGCCACTACAGTGCTGTGACATCTCTTAGCTTCAGTCCCGATGGTAACGCCATGGTCAGGTACTGTGATATTTTAAATCAACCTCAGACTCCTTTTTGTTTGTGTAGCGCTGTGTGTTAAAGTCCTGTGCTCTTTCAGTTCTGGCAGAGACAAGATCTGCACAGTTTGGGACCTGAAAACTCGCAAAGCCAAGAGAACTGTTCCAGTCTATGAGGTAAGCTCGTCAATTTAGATTCATTTTAACTTAAATACATTTTGTGCTCTTCATTTGGGGAGAAAACTGGAGCTTTATTTGTGTGTATATGATCTTACAGGCTGTGGAGGGTGTTGTAATTCTTCCTGGAAGTACAGACTTGGCTGAGATCGGAGTAAAGAGCAAGGACTTGCATTTCATCACAGCTGGAAGCAAAGGTCTGGCTGCTAAATACCTCAAATATTTATATAAATGTCCTTCATCTCCTCTGTGTCACTCATCTTCTCTCCTTTCTTTCTCCTAGGTGTATTAAGGGTGTGGGAGGCCAGCACGGCACGTTGTGTCTACACGCAGACCCTTCCCTCCACCCTCCCCTCTGCCTCTGAGGAGGATGAGAACGACAACCCCCGCAGTCTGACATACCTGTTTCACCTGCCCGCCTCAGCTAGACTGGCCACAGTCACTGCAGAGCACAACATACTGCTGTATCAGCTGCCTGCTCTCACCACACAGCAGCAAGTGGGTACTGGGGTCACGTCTTAGTGGACTGCTTAGGTCCAATACTTACATGACATCACACTACAGCTTCAAACATCTGTTAGTTGTTTCTTTTTCTTACTTTTACATACACATTAAAAATAAATCCAATTTTATGGAATTGTTTGTTTCCCTGGTACACAGAAAGAGAGAAGTAAAAAACAATCTTACAAAAATAATAAAATATATCATCACCAGCTTTGTAATTGTTATTTTAAACATTGGTATCATCTCAGAAGGTTCACTATGTTTCTATTTTTTGCTGTTCTGTGTATCTGCGTATTAGAATTAACGGTCACTCTCTCCTCGGTTGCTCTATTCACCCTCCCGCTTCAGTTTGTGGGCTACAGTGACGAGGTGCTGGACGTGAAGTTTCTGGGAAAAGGTGACAGTCACATCGTGGTGGCCACCAACAGCTGCCAGCTGAAGGTTTTTGAGCTGCTCACCAACAGCTGCCAGATCCTCTATGGACACACAGGTGAGTCGCCAGCAGAGGGCAGTATGTGTGTATGCTTACATGTGGAAACACCTACAGTATGTGTGTTCATGTACAGCAAACTACAGTCCAGAGACATGCATGTCAGTTTAAATGGGGTTTCTAAATTGGCTGTAGGTTTGATTGTGAGTGTGC